ACACCAACACAAATATAAATACCTGAAATGTTTAGATGTACCCTCCTCAGTCGTCTCAGTTACTGTGAATTCTTTAACTTGTTTTGTTACTAAATAAAGAAAGATTTGTTAGATGTGTGATTTATACTCTTGAAGAGATTTTATGTATTTTTTAGTGTTTGTTTTGAGTGTAACCATTGTTTTTTATTTCAGCTTTACAATTTAGCTTGTTTTTTGTTTTTAAATGGTCATTTGTGAAAGAATCAAACTATTTTGAATGTACAGTAGCCTATACGTTTATTGTATGAAATTAAAGATCTTTAGATAATGCCCTTTTATAATTGAATTTAAATCAAAGGATAAAAAAAGCGTTATCGCATAAGATGATCAATGCAGTTTCTCCTGAACTTGCAGTCTCAGTGATGTCAGACATCTTTTGCTTTGAGATCTCCAACCAGCCTTCTATAATGATTTCTATGGCAATATTTTGTGGTGCATAATCTGGAGACCTGGTTACCTACAGTGGTAAATGCATGATATAATAGTGAGTCATAAAAGTGGGTCAGAGGACTATCTAAATATACATTCGGCCAAATCATCTAGATACTCACTTTTACTTGGTCTCATTCAGACACCTTCTTCAACATCCAAGGACACATCAAATCTTTTTTTCAGGCCTCTTGTTTTTGACCACTGTCCCATGATTCTTTAGTTCCCCAACAACAGGAACTTAAAGGAGCTTGGCGTGGTGCCCATCCGCCATGACTTTCAGATTTGTGTGAAGCACTATCACTAATGAAAATCAGCACAGTACTCCGGACAACAGGGGCTGCTGATGGAGTAGTGACTTGCGACCATTGTCTTTGAACAACTGAGCACTGTAAATCGGTTTGAGAGAGATGCAGTGGGAATGGTGGCAGTTATTTTATAATGTAGCATTTCGATTCTGTTAGATTTATTGCATAAAGGAATAAAATAATGTATGGCTTACTGTTTAGCACTTAAGGATGAAATTAGCTTAGACAGATTAATCATTTACTCTTCATTCTGAATATTAATGAGATAATAAGGGGCAGGGAAGTAAATGTATATACAGTACATATATACAAATCTCTCCAATAACAACAACCTTCAGACAACAGAAACTGTGAGGACCAGACTAGATTGCCAGAGTTTAATTGTTCAGGCTTGGTACATAAAAGAACCTCGCAATATTGCGGCTATCACGGAGATCCTGAATGCATTATCACAGCCCAATCTCCAGTTTTTATTTTCTTTCTGACTCAGCTTAACTCAGATAAGAATCTATTAATGTCTCTCTACCAGGAATTCCTAGTTTCTGTCTATAAGAATAACATTCATTGCATTATGTCACAGTGTACATACTATTTACTGTAAATTACATTTGGTTTTCTATATCAGGTTCTTTAGCTTTTGTGCAGTCAAGTAAAGTCAAGTGAAAGAGAGTTTTTTATGCTCATTATCATTTGCTGACTTCTTTATTGCTACTAATAAATTTTTGCATTTCATTTTGCATCCATATGGTGCAGTCAACAAACTTATCAAACATTCGCCAAGCGATGTTTAGATTAAAACTTTTATAGATGCCAGTGATTGTCATAAAAACTTGGTATTGACACTCAAGCTTAACACCAACAATACGCATTGTATTTTCTTGAAATAAACATATTATAAACAATAAGGTTCATGCGTTTGAAGAACAAAGACATAACTTAATAATAATTTGTTCAAGGATTACTTCATCTTTATTTCTTACCACTGCAATGCCTCCAATTTTCTTCTTTGAATTATATACATTTTTTCATTTAGTCCTGCAAGCCAAGAGATGGTTATGAAGCTGTAGTGGCCAGTTCTTGTGCCTACGAAGTCTGGAAGTTGAATCACCAGATAGGTATGTGAAAGCTTTTGTTCCCGAGCAACTGCTGAACTGCCCATTCTATACATAACAAAAAAAAATGTAAACATTTAATTTGATTAATAAATTTGAATAAATCAATGTTAAAAAGTCCACAAATCGAAACGGTCTTTATGGACATGTTTTCCATGTATTTCTTGTTTTTCTATTGATCAATACATGATCTAAATACATCTATAAATGCAACAGTTTGATAGGTTTTTGGAACTTTCAATGTCAATGGTCATACATTAGATCAACCTATGAATATCAATGGTCAAACCCCCAATTAATTTGCATTTAAAAGCATACATAACAAAAAAGTATTACATCACAAATCTCGTATTGCTTCTTTTTCCATCCATCCATCCATTCTCCTCCGCTTATCCGGGGTCGGGTCGCGGGGGCAGCAGCGATAGCAGGGAAATCCAGACTTCCCTCTCCCCGGCCACTTCGGCCAGCTCCTCCAGGGGGATCCCGAGGCGTTCCCAGGCCAGCCGGGACACATAGTCCCTCCAGCGGGTCCTGGGTCTTCCTCTGGGCCTTCTCCCGGTGGGACGAGCCCGGAACACCTCCCCAGGGAGGCGACCAGGAGGCATCCTGATCAGATGCCCGAGCCACCTCAACTGGCTCCTCTCCACGTGGAGGAGCAGCGGCTCTACTCTGAGCCCCTCCCGGATGGCCGAGCTTCTCACCCTATCTCTAAGGGAGAGCCCAGCCACCCTGTGGAGGAAACTCATTTCGGCCGCTTGTATCCGCGATCTCGTTCTTTCGGTCACTACCCAAAGCTCGTGACCATAGACGAGGGTGGGAACGTAGATCGACCGATAAATTGAGAGCTTCGCCTTTAGGCTCAGCTCTCTCTTCATCACGACAGACCGGTACAGCGCCCGCATTACTGCAGACGCCGCGCCGATCCGCCTATCGATCTCACACTCCCTACCCCCATTCGCAAACAAGACCCCGAGATACTTGAACTCCTCCACTTGGGGAAGGACGTCCGCTCCGACCCGGAGAAGGCACTCTACCCTTTTCCGGTGAGAGACCATGGTCTCGGACTTGGAGGCACTGATCCTCATCCCAGCCACTTCGCACTCGGCTGCAAACCGCTCCAGTGAGAGCTGTAGGTCCCGACTTGATGGAGCCAACAGGACCACATCATCTGCAAAAAGCAGAGATGCGATCCTAAGGCCACCAAGACTGACACCCTCAACACCTCGGCTGCGCCTAGAAATCCTGTCCATAAAAGTTATGAACAGGACCGGAGACATAGGGCAACCTTGGCGGAGTCCAACTCCCACCGGAAACGAGTCCGACTTACTACCGGCAATGCGAACCAGACTCTGACTCCGGTCGTACAGGGACCGAACAGCCCGTAACAAAGGGCCAGGTACCCCATACTCCCGGAGCACCCCCCAAAGGATACCCCGAGGGACACGGTCGAACGCCTTCTCCAAGTCCACAAAACACATGTGGACTGGTTGAGCGAACTCCCATGCACCCTCTAGGACCCCGCTGAGGGTATAGAGCTGGTCCAGCGTTCCACGGCCAGGACGAAAACCACCCTGCTCCTCCTCGATCCGAGGCTCGACTATCCGACGGACCCTCCTCTCCAGAACCGCTGAATAGACCTTCCCAGGGAGGCTTAAGAGTGTGATCCCCCTATAGTTGGAACACACCCTTCGGTCCCCCTTTTTAAATAGGGGGACCACCACCCCAGTCTGCCAATCCAGCGGGACTGCCCCTGATGTCCACGCGATGTTGCAGAGTCTCGTTAGCCAACGCAGCCCCACAACATCCAAAGCCTTTAGGAACTCCGGCCGAATCTCATCCACCCCCGGGGCCTTGCCACCGCAGAGCTTTTTGACTGCCTCGGTGACTTCAGCCCCGGAGATTAGAGATCCCACCTCCGGATCCCCAGGCTCTGCCCCTCCAACGGAGGACGCGCCAGTGGGATTGAGGAGGTCCTCGAAGTACTCCGCCCACCGACCCACAACGTCACGAGTTGAGGTCAACAGCACACCATCACCACTGTAAACAGTGTTGGTGGGGCACTGCTTCCCCCCCCTGAGACGCCGGATGGTGGACCAGAATCGCTTCGAGGCCGTACGGAAGTCTTTTTCCATGGCCTCCCCAAACTCCTCCCACGCCCGGGTTTTTGCCTCGGCGACCACCCGAGCCGCATGTCGCTTGGACTGCCGGTACCCATCGGCTGCCTCCGGAGTCCCACAGGCCAAAAAGGCCCGATAGGACTCCTTCTTCAGCCTGACGGCATCCCTCACCGCCGGTGTCCACCAGCGGGTTCGAGGGTTGCCGCCACGACAGGCACCGACAGCCCTGCGACCGCAGCTCCGGGAGGCTGCGTCATCGATGGAGGCACGGAACACGGCCCATTCGGACTCAATGTCCCCCGCCTCCCCCGGAACGTGTTCGAAGCTCTCCCGGAGGTGGGAGTTAAAGCTCCGCCTAACAGGGGACTCCGCCAGGCGCTCCCAGCAGACCCTCACAACACGTTTCGGCCTCCCGGGTCTCACCGGCATCCTCCCCCGCCATCGGAGCCAACTCACCACCAGGTAGTGGTCAGTGGAAAGCTCCGCCCCCCTCTTGACCCGAGTGTCCAAAACATGCGGCCGCAGATCAGCTGAAACGACAACGAAGTCGATCATTGAACTGCGGCCTAGAGTGTCCTGGTGCCAGGTGCACATATGGACACTCTTATGTTTGAACATGGTGCTCGTTATGGACAATCCGTGCCGAGCACAGAAGTCCAAAAACAGAACACCGCTCGGGTTCAAGCTGGGGGGGCCATTCCTCCCAACCACGCCCCTCCAGGTCTCACTGTCGTTGCCCACGTGAGCGTGGAAGTCCCCCAGCAAAACGAGGGAGTCCCCAGGGGGGGCACCCTCCAGTACCCCCTCTAAGGACTCCAAAAAGGGTGGGTACTCTGTGCTGCCGCTAGGCGCATAGGCACAAACGACAGTCAGGACCCGTCCCCCCACCCGCAGGCGAAGGGATGCTACCCTCTCGCTCACTGGGGTAAACCCCAACGTACAGGCACCGAGATGGGGGGCAATAAGTATGCCCACTCCTGCTCGGCGCCTCTCACCGGGGGCAACTCCAGAGTAGCAGAGCGTCCAACCCCTCTCGAGAAGGCTGGTTCCAGAGCCAGAGCTGTGTGTCGAGGCGAGACCGACGATGTCCAGCCGGAATCTCTCCGCCTCGCACACTAACTCAGGCTCCTTCCCCGCCGGAGAGGTGACGTTCCACGTCCCTAGAGCCAGCTTCTGCAGCCGGGGATCAGTCCGCCAAGATCCCCGACTCCGGCCGCCGCCCAGGGCACACTGCACCCGACCCCTATGGCCCCTCCCACGGGTGGTGGGCCCGTGCGAAGGGGGACCCATGTAACCTCTTCGGGCTGGGCCCGGCCGGGCCCCATGGGTGAAGGCCCGGCCACCAGGCGCTCGCCATGGTGCCCCGCCCCTGGGCCTGGCTCCAGGGGGGGGCCCCGGTAGCCCGCGCCCGGGCGAGGGTACACGAAGTCCATTTTTGTCTCTCTTCATAAGGGTCTTCTGGGCTGCGCTTCGTCTGATCCCTCACCTAGGACCTGTTTGCCTTGGGTGACCCTACCAGGGGCTTGAAGCCCCGGACAACATAGCTCCTAGGATCACTGGGGCACTCAAACCCCTCCACCACGATAAGGTGGCAGCCCAGGGAGATATATATATATTTTTCCCCCAAAATATTACCCTGTAATCCATCTTGCACATATGTTACATGTGTTATCACCTAACCATCCCTCTGAAATTGCTATTGTAGTGACTTTTTCATGAAGCTGTAAAACATAATCTGTAATTTTGAAGTTACTGTAGAGACTCTTCTTACTAAAATGAATCACTGAAAACTCCTCCATCATCACTTCTGAACAGAGATGTTCAGTAACGAAGTAGAACTACTTAAGTAATGTACTTAAATACCAAAATGCAGTATCTGTACTTTATTGGAGTATATATTTTTTTCTACTTTTATTTTTACTCCACTACATATTTTTGATTGATTTAAAACTTTTACTCGATCGATTTTTCACGGGCTGAATCGTTACTCGTTACTCATGTAAACGTAATGATAGATAGCTCTGTCACGGTTTGTGAAGCTGGCTCCTCATTGGGCGATAGCCTATTTAAAAAAAAGCCTCCCGAAATATTGAGAAATCATGGTTTTTAAAAATTCCCCATCTAATCTGACGAAGCATATAAATTAAAAAAATACAATGTCATATAAGCTAGTAAATAAGCGGTAGTTCAGTTCTCCCTGTTCACTCGGGACGTAGCAGTTAACCTAGCTGACTAGCTGTATTCTCCCTGTTACATGATAGCATAAAGGGTCAGCTCAGGATTCTGACACTGGAATGATAAATAATAGTAGATGAAGTGCTTTTGATTCTTAATGCATATGAACACATAGTCCACAATGTCCAATATTACTGGTATGTCAACACACTGTGGCCTACTAACATGGCTCCCTTCCAGCAAAAACAACTTACTAACTTTAAAAAATGGGCATAAACAATAACAGAAAAGGGTCTCTTTTTTGTAATACAATTGTTTTGATTGATCCTAGTAAGAAATCTGTAGGAGCGACCATGGGGTATTTGATTAAAATGCAGACATAATGTACAGGTCCAGAGTATTTATTGAAACTTGTGGAGTTCACATTTGAGAGCTTTGTTTTGTTACTGAAGTTGTGACATTAGTCGTGACATTGAAGTTGTGGTTTCTATATGTAAAACAGAATGTAACAGTGCCTCTTAGAAACGTATGCATGGTGACTACAAAATTAATAGCTAAGCATGGTTATTCATATATTGACACACATGCCAATGGCTAACCAGAAATGACCAAATAGACACCTAAATCTAAACATACACATTATTACACGAATACACTACACCTTAATATACAACAAATTATCAAATTAAAAGCATCATCTCCATTTTACACAGCAGGAAAAAGTTACGCTTCGCTGTTCACTTAACCGCAGTAAGCACGGTAAGCGTGTTACACGCTATAAACGTAAAAGTCAGCAAAGAATGCAAATATTAATCATGACATTCTACAAACTAACATGAAACAGCTCACCCACAAACAATAAATGACAAAACTTATGGTTTCTGAACACACAACAACGTCCAAACAGCACAAACAGTCCATGAAGACAAGGGGTTCCTTTCACATCTCTGCCTCTCCATTCACTAGCGTGTGCACATGCAACCCTCAGACTCGCACCCCAATTAACTACACAGGTGTAGCCACAAGGGTTGCACGCACAGGACGCTTGGATGGTCAGCACGAGGTTATCTGGTCATGTGAACAGTCCCTTGTCCTTCACAACAGCAATTCAAACATGTATACTTCAAGTTACTTATTGATTGCCAAGCAGCAATGCGCTGAGGTGTAAGTGTCTGCCATGGGATTGCAAAAACAAGGAAACAATGAAAGACAAATGTATTATTTCTGTGGACACCAATTCAATGTGGCACAATTTGCTAAATGTTATTTGTTCCTGTGGGGCCATCAGCCTAGTGGCACACAAGGCAGATGTACACAAGTTAAAGATAAGAGGGTTAGAAATAGGAAAGGAAAAAAATATAGTACAGAATGGGAGTGCAGACAGTATTTGTTCAAGGTTATTTTTTTTAATACTTTGAATTGAATATTAAACTAGTAAGGTAATGACAGCTATACAAATCACAGCCAGTAGATTATTTGAAAAGATTTATAACACGGCAGGTGTTAAAACACTTTCACTTGTTCCGAGCACTCAGTGTGAAGGAAATTGATGTGGTCTGGGTGTACAGTAATCATCAAAATAATAGTAGTTCAATTTGACTAACCAGATTAATCACTGTTATTGGTATATTTTCTGTGCAATCGGGCAATAAGTTGAAAGGGGTGTGCAAAATAAACAAACAACAAATTACCAAATTAAGAATCCTGGACACTATCCTCAAAATGTGCTGCTCACACATTAAATGGTAACTATTTTCATGATTTATGTTAACTACATCTATGTGTTATAAGAAAGGTCAAGGTGCTGCATGCATGCACATTGTTCAGTAAAGCAGCGTAGCTAAATAAACAAGCATGTCTGCCTCCATCTCGTTATTACACAACATTGGCAATGAGGAAAAAGCCTTTTTACCTTACACAGAAGGAAAGCCAGACAATTTCGGTACCAGTAAGTACTATGGCCCTGTTTGGACAAACTCTTTAATTTTAAGACGGAAAACGACCTGTAGTCATCCTATATTGAACAGTTTTTTTAAACTAACAACATTGTCGACTTGGAAGAAAGTTGCCACACTATTGAGTTTAATGGGTGCTACTAAGGATGGACCTTTGAGAAATTAAGTGCAGCCCCACAAGCCCAAAGACAAGACGAGATAGTGACTGTTTTAAAGCAATATTTCGAGGCAAAGCCATTGTTGGCGGCAGAGATTTCACTTCAACGGGTGCAATCAAAAAGCTGCCTAACTGGTCGCACAGCTCCGTGGCGGAGCTGAAGCAGTGTGCCACTGTGAGTTCGCCGCGAACCTGGACGCATCACTACAAGATCGGTTTGTCAGTGGAATAAGGAACAAATCCTGCCAGCAGAGGTTCTTCTAAGAAAACGTTTGCCAAAGCGTTGGAGATCACCCTCAACATGGAGATGGCCAACAGGGAAGCACGTCAGTTGAGAGAAACGGTGAGCGATGCTAGTGGAGCTGCAAGCGTCTATGAGGTGAAGCTGCAAGAAGGCCAGGAACTGTTACATGTGCAATGGAAAAAATCACATTGCAAATGAGTGTCATTTTAAAAAGACTATATGTCACAACTGTGAGAAAGTCGTGCACATTAAAAGGGCATGTCGTGCAAAAAGGCAAGGGTTAAAGATACTAGACCAAGAGACAGGAGACAGCTAAAGAAAAACACTAAATGTGTCAAAGCTGAAGAAGTTTCTCATCTTGAAATGTTTACAATTTCAACTGTCACCAGTGAAGATACTGAGATGTATAAACAACATTCTTTGTTAATGGGGTGAGGATGGAGATTGATACCGGTGCAAGGAAAAGCATAATCTTAAAAAGAACATATAGAAGGCAGTTTTCACACATATCACTGCAGAGTGCTAACGTAAAGCTTAGAGCTTACAGTGGAGGTTGTATCCCTGTTTTGGGATTACAGACACAGTTGAGTATCAAGGTCAGAGAGCAGTTTTGCCACTTCTAGTTATTAAGGGGCATGGAACAACATTTTATGGTAGAGATTATCTGAAGCAACTTAAACTAAGATGGGAAGATCAGTTTTTTGAAGGAAACTAAATGTAGAAGTCAGAATACTAAGAGTTTAATGAGGAGTTAAGGACACTTAAAGACATTAAAACCTCAGTCACAGTCAGACCAGACATGACTCTCTAAGTCTACAAACACACACCCCTCCCATTTTCAATTAAGGAAAGAGTAGGACTGGAGCACAAAAGGCTGAAGGAAGCTGACATTATATCTCCAGGAAAAGCATAGTGAATGAGCAGCACCTATAATTCCGGTGGTAAAGAAGGATCAGTCACTTCACCTGTGTCGTGTCAGTAAATGAGGCATTTGAAACAGACACCTACCCCTTACCTCGCTTAGAAAAGCGTTAGCTACCATAGTGGAGGTATGATTTTCTCTAATATTGATTTTGCAGCAGCTTGTCAGCAAGTTTTGCTAGATGATGACTCCAAGACATACCCACAGAGGGCGGTTTGTGTATAACAGACTTCCTTTTGGGATCAGTTCTACTCCCTCAATCTTTCAGCGGATTATGGAAAACATGATGAAAGACTCTCCTGTGGTAGTTTTCCTCGCTGATGTTCTGATTATGGGACATTCAGAGGAACATCACCTCCACAACCATCAGAGGGTCCTGCAACACTTACAGGACAATGGAATACAATGGAAATACTATTTGGGTCACGTTCTGGACGAGCATGGCATTCACCCATCAGAGGAAAAGGTGAGAGCAATACAAGAGGCTCCTGCACCTGCCAATGTTGAGGAGCTACAAGCTTTCTTGGGTCTTTTGAACTATTATTGAAGTTTTTGCCACAGCAGAGCACAGTGGTGGCACCACTGTAAAGACTTCTCAGAGGAAAAAGACTGAGCCAGAATTGTCTGCTTTTGTCAAGTACAAGGACCTGTTGACGAATCAACAGGTTTCAGCACACAATAAACCCAGTCTATGATTCCAGTGATCAGCTTCCTCCTCACTGGTCCTGCTACTATGATACAGACTTACCGCAAACTCCACTTATTTGCATTAAACTGCACATTCAGCTAAAACTGGCTGAGACTTCTTTTTTTCAAGTCCCAGACAACAAGAAATCATATCCTGATTAATCTAAAGTAACTCAAGTTTACCATGACATCAAGGAGGTTCTAATAAAGTTAGAGCTACCTCTCTAACACTGCACCCCCCTTATGATTGTGCCATAGACCTACTTCCTGGAGCAACACCTCCCAGTGGGCGA